GAAAGGCAGACATCTGTTCAATACTTGTATCCAAGTCTCACATTTTCCTTTCTTTTCACAAAACCAGGGAATCCATCTGAAAAAGTAATTTTCAAGGAAGATGTTCAGCCAGGCGGAGATAGACTTGGGATGCTATTGCCTGGACACAGAAGAAAATGCTGTGGTTTGACCAAGCTGATGCAGACTTCTATAGCAAAACAAAAGAGGACTTGGCCTGTGTGATGGGGGAAGCCACCTTAGAGAGCTCTGGAGGTCTTAATGGCCTTAAATTTCATTAATTAAAGCAAGATACAGAATGAACATGGTGCTGACAATCAGTGTTAGGCAAGTTCACAGTACACCTAATGGATCATGAGTGGACTCAGATGCGGGATACCTGGTTTCTGAATCCCAAATTGCTTTACTTGGGCAGCAAACATGCAGAATGGGATTCGGCTTCCCTTGCACTGGTCATGAAGCTAGGTGTCCACTCTAAGCCGTTTACTCCTTGCTCACTCAGTGAGGAAGCAGATGCTTCCATGGCTCAGTCAGGCAATCTTAAAATACATGTCTGAGGTATGTGGGAAGAAGAGAGGTCAAATGGATAGCTTTAATATCTGATTTGCAGGTGGCTAATGTCAGCTGGTATAGAGTCACCCTAGATCTTTAGCTCCAGCAAGATTACTGTGGCAGCAACAAGTGCAGCAGAAGGATTTCAGGGTGGCAAGAGTGTATCACTGGTGAGCAAAGGCAATTGGAGACTCTGAGACATCTGCAGGAAGTAAGTGTTTTTAGCTTTTTTTTTTAGACGGTATGGGTCCTTTTTCATTCTAAGTTGCACTTGAGGTGAAGAACCACTATTTTGGAACTGGCAGACCATAGGAATCCAACACCTAAAATTAGCTAAAATGTACACTTCTATTTGGGTTTTGGTTTGACCAGTTTCAAAAACTATTTCTGTAAAATAAAATTCCTCCAGAGGTATCTGTTTCTCTCTATTGATTGTAATAGAAACTTAGATGACAAACACTTAGATGACAACCTCAGACACAGTTCCTTAGTTTCTGGATGTCTCAAATTAGGTGAGACAGGTCCCACCTCAGGTATTCAGTCTAATGCTGTTATGGAGATCTCCACTATAATTAATGAAAGGGACAGGCAGTCCCAGGACTGGGATTATTAGCCCATCCTAGCACAGATAAATAAAGGGAAGAATGCACAAATCTCTAGAAATGTCTCTCTCTCTCCTTTCTGTAGGAATCCTAGAGGATGTTTAGAATAGATTACAAACTTTTAGACCGTTAAAGCTAAATCAAATGAATCACACTTTTCACTTCTTCTCACCTCTATGCAGAAAATGTAGATAACAGTACTGTTTTACCCCTTCCAGGAATTAATTCATAACAAAAGAAAATCTGAGGTGCCATGGTGGGCAAAAAAGGTGCAACAGTAGTATAGTTTTTAACCCTGTGTACTTTCTGGGTAGGATAAAGGCTACTGTGATGTGTGATGAAGCGTGGGTAGAGTTTATTCTGTGTGGGTGGATGGACAAGGCCATATCTTAGATGTTTTAGATGTGTTGTGCAGAACGACTCTTCAACATTTGGCTGTCACCCGGATATGAAGACATGGAGAGAAGGAGAAAACCAAGCTGAAGATGATGCCTAGGTAGAAGTATGAATGACAGGTAGGATGATAATATTGTCCACAGTGATTGAGAATGGAGGCAGAGGAGAGAGGAGACAGGGTTTGGGAGGAAAAGTTCAAGAGCTGTGTTTTATGCATATTGAGCTTGATCTGACAGCTAGACATCCACTAGGAGATGCTGGAAAGACAGGCCAAGGCTTTAGTTTGGACAGGAGTCAGTCCTGCAGTAGAGAGGTTAGATCTGCAAGCTGTCACTATAGAAGTAATAGCTGAATTTGTGTTGGTGGATAAGGCTGCTAGGGATACAGCTTGGATGAGGAAGGGAAGAGAATGAAGTGAAGTGACTTGTTTATGCCCCCATATGGACGGGGAAGAAAGACAGGAGGGGACAGAGTAACCAAAGCTAAAAGTACAGGGCATATAATTGCTATAAATACATTATAAATATGTGCAAAAGTACATGAAAATTATGATCTTTCATAAAAGAGGACATGGAGGTCAAGTAAAACACTACAGTAAAGCTGATGAGTTGATAGGCAATATGAGTTAAATAGACGCCAAAAAGCTCTCTTGGCAGGTAGATACAGAAAGAACTTTGGGCCTGCTCAAAAGTAAGGGATTTTGGGAAGTTATTTCTAAAAGCAATTGACTGTGTGAAAATTGGAAAGCTGTAGACCCTTAGGAGAAACAAATGCCTTGCATAGAGAAGTGGGCTTGTGACGGATGGTGGTCAGGCACCTGTCCAAGGAAAGGTTAATAAAAAAAAAAAAAAGGAAAAAAACTTTCATAAAAGAAAGTTGCCTTTTGAAACTATTAGGCAACATATGTTGTGTGAACAGGAAGTCACAGTAGAGCAATAATCCTGACAGCTGTGGAGAAACAGGAGTCTGCCGCAGGAACGAACGGCTCGAGACCTGACAAGAATGATGATGGATGCCCCGTTGGTAGTACACGAGGACAAGGCAAGAGACGTTTAAATTGGCTGAACCACAGGACCAACTTTGAGTTGGCATCGCAGCCGGACAAATGAGGCCAGTCCTAATGGTGAGAGAAATGGGAGGGGGGATTGAAGGAAGATGGCAGCAATGCAGCCCTCCTTTCCAAGGACGAGGGCTACATCGCCATCTCACCACGAGGTGGCTGCATTTCTCTGTGAACGTCCAAGCCCTGCAAGAAGCTGCACACCCTGAAGCACCATGAAAATGAGAATGGGAACAGAGATCACTTGCAGGATTTGGCCCATCTCATTCAAAGCGTCTTAAGCATTTTGAGGCCCTGTGGCAAAAACAGTGTATGCTCCATGTCCTGATCAAGCGGTGGTCACTCAACAGGTCCTCACGGGTCTGCTTAGCCATGGTAACGGCCCGTGTGCCTGCTCGTAGCTCATGGGAGATGCAAGGCAATGCCACATAACTTAGCTTATAAAGAAGAGGATGAAATTAATAATTTCCTACTTGTTTTTCCTGTGAACTAAGAGTAGGTATGTGGACTGCTGCTGAGGTTCAGTCAATTCATGGCAACTTGTCAAGCCATGGAAACTCGATTGTGAATCTGGGATGTGCATCTAGTAAGGGTTAAACTGTGATGCTTTTTCAGATGCCCAGATTTGGTTATTCGAGAACATTTCTAGAACGGGTATTTGAGTCAAATAAGTCAACAGGAAAAATGGTCCCATAAAAAACTGACTGATGAAACGGCCGAATTCTTGATTGTTTTGCACATCCTAAATTCAGTTGATGTTAGCAGGATGGGACGGAAATTTGCTCCCAAGTGGTCAAGAGATGAGTATTTTTTCTTATCTAAAGTGAGCTGAAAATAGGAAGGATAAGGGCTGGGGAAGGATAAGGATATTTTGGATATAGTAGATCTAGATAAAATCTTCAAATCTCCTTGTTTTCTTTTCTGTTTTCTCCCATTTTTCTCTCACCTCTGTCACCTGAGTTTGCTAGCTTTTTGGGACAGGAACTGACTTTTTATTACACCTTTCTGTGGTACCACACCCTGTGGAACTGCAATTCCTGATGTCAGTTTATACACGTTATCACTTTGGATCAAAGTTTGGAAGAAAGTAATTAAAAGTACTTCTTTGACCTGTCTCAGGGAAGATGCTCATAATATTTCACTGTGGGATGTCAGCATCAAGCCCAGCATCTGGTTTTGTTAGAAGGAATCTTTTAGGAAGAGAATCCTAAAAATATTGTAATATTTCAAAAAATTGAGACTCCCATCTGTAAGGAGATTTTTTTCAATAGCGCCGCTGGTAAACATGTACTATTTTTAATCTGATTTGTGTAAGATGGGGTTCCAAAAAATGAGATCTTGATGATTTGTTACTTTTAGAAACCTTTCCCCCTACAACGAATTTTCTGTTTTCATCACTGCAAAGACCTAGAGACAATCTGCCAGCCCACCTGAAACTTATTTGGATAAATTAATGAATTTACATTAGAGTCTTTTACCGAAAGAGAGATTTTATACTCTTAAGAATCTTTTATTGAGCTTCCTGCATCCTTTCCAAGTTGTCGGCACGCTTCTTAGCCTTTCATGATTTACACTGTGAATAATTAGTAATAAAAATAATATACTATTATAATAAACTTCAGATTGTCTTTCCTTGCTGACAGTGGAATGCCTTACGTTCTTCTGGGTCTGTGTGATGGTGTACAAATATCACTTTGCATAGAAAATACATTTCCATTTCTACTTTCCTGAACTATCAGGCTTGAAACCCCATATTACTAGATATTTATCCAAGTGGAATGATCCCTCAAATGTTTCCTGGAAGATTCAGTAGTTGGTCTGACTATCTTTCAAAAGTTGGATGTAGGGGACCACGTTTACGGCTAGGTAGGCACTTTTGTAACAGCAGTGAGAGGTGCCCATCACTGTGTGATTTGTCTCTAGCTTTTAGTGCCACCATGTGAACATGCTGCTCTCTGCTGAATGCTGGCAAAAAGTTCTTTATTCTTCACCTAGAGGCAAGAACTCTTTGGGGAGGGAAAGCAAAGAAGCCCTTAGACACAAGTTTCTGCTTGATTCATCCCTCTGAAACTTGAAAGGTTACACTCATGGTAAGTTTGACCCAATGTTTTTGGCATCTGTGAGCTATATGTCTTTTTTTCATGTCATCAAAACTGCTGGTGACAGAACACAGCACCCCTTGGGGTTCTGCGCCTATGTGAAATGACAGTGTCTTCCTGGCCTTTCCAATGATGAGTTAAGCACACCCAAGGCCCTGCATGCCTGAGCTGTTATCCATTCTTCCCAGAAGATGAGTTGCAGAGCATAGATAAATCATCCCTCCTCCTCAATCAGGCCACAGGGCAGGAAAGGCTGGACCAGTCCTCACTTGCCCATGCTACAGAGCTACTCACCGGCATTGTCTGGCTGCCATGCAAGGCATTAATGGCTGCTTGGGCCTCTGCATGTGAAGAGTATTTCACAAATGCACACCCTGGAAGAGTAAAAAGAAGAACGTAAGAAAGGTTGCATTGGTACCATGAAAGTCAACCTAGCTGAGTATCCTGTCTTCAGAACTGGCCAATAAAGAAGGTAGTGGAGAAAGTGTAACAAACAAATATGCTCTTGGTTATTCCTTCCCAAAGTCAAGTCATCAGCAACCTGAGGACCTTTTGAGGCAAAGCCACATCAAGAATTCCCACGCTGCTTGTAATGGGCACTGATGGACCCAAACTTAACAAGTACTTTTTAAATCCACTTATCTTTTGACCTCCACAGCTTCCAATGGCAGTGTTGCACAATTTTACAATTTATTGGGTGAAAATGAATTTCCTTTCATTTATATTGGACTTAATGCTGAATGCTCCTCCCTCTGGGGTAATGAGAAGCAGGAAGAAAGTGTGTAAAAGTTATCAGAAAGTTACATATACTTGTTACAAGCAACCGCAGGCCAGCTGTACAGAAAGCATTCAGGTTACTCTAAACCCACAAGGTACCTTATCATATCACTGTCTGGTAGAGCTCCATGACAGACTGCTCAGAGCTTGTCTTGGCTCTAAGCAGCCTTGGTCTGACAAAGCATAGACAGCTTTTGATGAAGAAGCTGGGATGAAGGAGATCCACATGTGATGATTGCCATCCTGCCACCACCAAAATTTGAATCTTAGTCTTTCACCATGAGCCGCAGAGCCAGTGCCTGTATAGGTGTTTTCCTCTGGACATTAGAAAAATGTAGGCAGTGTTTCTCTGGCCTGCATTGCCATGTGAGGAATCTCTCACTGAGCTCTTACATTAAGTTTTAGGGCAGAAAGGTGCATTTATGAATATGTGCTAGAGTGCACAAATGATCAACACTTCAAAGGGTCACATGCACCACTAGAATGGGGGTACTGCTAACACTCTTAGCTACAAGCAAACTAATTCAGAGAGAGGAATTGTAATTTCCATATGCTAAGGTGGTTTTTGGAACAGATTGGGAGAGATCTGAGAAGTTCTGGCTTCCATCCCCTTCTATTACTACCGAAGACTTTTGAGCTTTTAATCAATTTGCAAAGCCACAGCTGTTTCCCTAAAGGGGTGCAGATCACTGTGCAGGGGATGCCAGTCCTGACAACGGGACAGATCTCCTTTATTCCCTTTGCAGAATCTTTAGAAGGTTGACACTCCCTTATGGATCCATACAGTGCAGGGTGAAAACTGAAGCATTAGAACACCCCATTTACAAACTAGAAGAAGGACCCCCAGAGGTCCCTAAAATCATCACTGCAGGCTGATAGAAGTGAGATTGAAGAAAGCAGTGATAGTCCCTTCTAAAAATAATACACACATACGAAAGTAGCTTACAGTTAGGGGTCCTTCACTTTGCATTACCCCCTCAGCACTGTGCTTAGACTGTATTTCAAGAAAAACACAATGATTGCTGCTAATAGTTGGATCTAATTTATAAGGAGCTGAAAGGAGACAATCATGAGAAAATGAGATAGATAAACTTCAGCTGGAAACAATAGGGATCAATTATGACATAATCTCAGCCCAGCATTCCTGGGCTCCTGACATACTATGCCTTCCTCTTCATTAATCAGAGATAATCCAGAATTAGGGTGTTTAATTATTTGCAGAGATTCTTTTGTACTTTCTGTCTCTAAAAAAAAGATGCTGATTAGCAAATATACAAAAGCTTTCCAGCTCCAGTCACCCATTGTATTTAGAGCAGGATTTTTGGCTGCAGCGTTGCTGTCATGTTGAAGGCTTCACTCTCTTCAAGTGAAATCCACCCCTGTGCTGATGGATCAGTGGAGCTCAACAAAGGTGGGAATGAAGGGAGCAGCAGGCATTTATCTTGTTTAATGCCCATGATATTAATGGGATCCCTCCTACTGCTTCCAGTATGTTTTGAGGTAGCAGAGTGAGTGAAAACTCAGCTTTCACTGGTGTGTGGTGGGAAGGCAATAACAGAGATCCCAACATTTTGGCCCTTTTGTTTGTATGTTCAATGGGATGGCTTCTGTACACAACATCAAATGTGCACATAATCTTCTTCCCTCCTACTTTCACCAGAACTCACTCCAGGGCCTCATGAGCTGAGGGTGTGTGTCATGCCAGCCTCCTCAGACCAATGGTGTCCCCTTGACAGGAGCAGATCTGGAGTTTGAAGGGATTTTGACACGCAGGGAGATATATAACCTGTGCTGAACAGCAAGATAGATGTGCTCAAATGTTTTTTTCTTTCCTTTCTTCCAGACTATAGATCTGAAAGGGCTGCTCTGACTGTCTTGTCAACTTGAAGGAGACTGCAGAGTCAGGGCCTAAGGTTATAATTGCAGAGGGTGTTAAGACCCCTCTTGGAACTTCTGGAGGTGTGGGAAATCTGAGTTACTGAAGTAGACAGCTGCTGAATGGAGGGAAAAAAAGGGAAAGAAAAAAAAAGAGGCTGTCTAGAGAGCAGCAATGCAGACCTTGTGGGTCCTGCTGGCTTGCTGAACTGGACCCACTTCAGCTTTCTCACCTGAGGACTCCTGCTGAGGACTCCTGCACTCCTGGCTGCACACTGGTGAGCTTTACCTGGAAGTGTGCAGGAAGGCGCCTTCCTCTCCCACCTCTCCCAAGAGAGGCAAGTTCTGCATTCCTTTTCAGGCAGACAAATGCCTCAGTCCCAGCTCTTCTGCTACCTTGTTGCATGCTCCAGCCTCTGTGCCTACCCCTGAGTGACTCATGCAGGAGATATTTCTGCAGCCCTTGAAGGGCCTGCCTCATGGCTCAGGGCATCACCCATGGCTTCAGGCAAGGTTCAGGCAGCTTTCTGGCTGTGACTGGACTGTGGTGGCATTAAAATGGTAAGCTGGGACCTACCTTCTGAGAGTGTTGCTTGCATCCTCCAGAGGTGTCTGGAGGACTTAGAGGCTCACCACGGGGATGGCTGGTGGGGCTTTACATAATGGGTTGGGTAGGACTGAAGTCTATGGGGTCTGATTGCTATCTGGCACTTAGACAATCTGCTTGAATCTCAATTTAGGTGGAATTTAAGCCTTATGGGTTTTACCCAAAATAAGTAGCTCACAAGCAATATTGGTTTCTAGCAGATGGAAAACATTACAGACTGAGGATAACTTTGTGGGAGTTGTGGCTCGCCCGACTGTCTCCTAAGATAAGGGCACTAGCCTTAAGTTTTCTGTTGGATTGACTGCTCTGTGTGCTTGTATGTAACTCTGTGTGTGTAAATTAGGAGCTTCACATTCTCAGAAATAGCACCAGCAAATGGAAGCTGGTAATATTAACTCTGTCAAGGCTCAGTATTGATCCTGAACAGCTCAGTGAAATGCAAGCCTGAGACTGCAGCCCGCTAGCACTAATAATTAAACTGGTTAGCAATATGGAGCTGCCACTCAGATTCAGACTTATAATGAAATTGTTCAAGAAAAAAAAAATAGAGCAAGTATGAATACAAGTCTGTGGGTTGGATCTCCTTTGGAACCTCTTGCAGATCTCAGACGTTATTGCTTTTATTATCACTCTGTTTAACTCCTTTGTCATTAGGTTTTGTTCTGTACAATTCCGGGTGGAGGCAGACAGACATATTTTTTTTGCTTTTCTCCAATTTACTGATTTGTTCAGTGAATGGATTGCTTAACTTTCTACCGTTATGACGGTTGCAGCTCTTCTAGGCCAACCTCGCCTACCCCTTTTCAGTGGGGCAGCCCCTGTCTTTGGGTGTCATGAAACTAAAGTAGCCATACAATTGAAGAAAGGTACCCACAGTTTATTTTCAGCCATTTATGTCAGGAAGGCTGAGCTTTGCTGACTTATATCAAACAGCTGCCCTATAATGCTGGTGTGAAGTCTTTTTTGGCTGCCAGTGATTTTATGGAACAGCAATATCTTTCTCCAGTGTATCACTGCGATTTGGATTTTTTTGCCTCTCTGTTGCAAAAATATGCTGGTTGATGTTCTCACATGTCAAAATATCCAGTGAGATGAACTGCGTCAGCAGGACTGGTCTCTTCCCTGGTGCTGCACATTCCAGCACAGTTTAGTATATATTATATGCAGATCAATATTTAATGGACACATTATACTGTCAAGAGAAAAGGGCTTCCTATTCAAATTGAACTTACTTTGTCTAGAGAGTGATGGGGAAAAAAAATGACCCTCACATTCAAGAGAGAACTCTCATTCTTACACCTGGGCTGTAGAAAAGGATCCTTTGTGCTATCCAGGTAACAAGTGATGCCAAAAAGTGGCAGAAGGAGGTAAGGCACCTAGTTTTGCAATGAAGCATTTGCATGTTTCAAATAGTAAATGTCTACTGAGTGTAATGTTTAAATCAGCACCTGTACCCTTGCAATTACGATCAATGGCTGGTGTGTATCTATGCAAAGTTCAGCTGAAGAAGGGGAAGACCTGGGGCTGGTGGGTGGAAAACAAGCAGACACGGTGGTGGAGCGGGTGAGTCAAGATGTAAAGTAGCAACCTTGGCTTTGTTTAAAGAAAGAATTGACCTGTTCAACAGGGTGGGGAGAGCACATCCTGAGTGAATGTAAAGGCCCTGTATTCAGAGGGGAGGTTCTGCCCTGCAAGCAAACAGCAATAGGCATCAATTTTCACACAGTGAGACATAGCTTGTTGCGGGGCATGTGTTTTTAAGTGCAATCACCTTTTGCCTCTCATGCACAAGCAGACAGTGACCAGCAAAGAAGTGGCCTCCCTTGGCAAATGCGACCCCTCTTAATGTAGGAGATGCTGTCCTGGAGGCTGCCTAGTGACTTTCTCACGCCAGAAAATGATACATACACTGAGACCGGGTCTAGCTTGACACTAAAGCCACAGTGTGCCACAAGCCATCACCTTACCTTTGCTGTTGCCATCGGGTCCCCGAAGGATTGTGCACTCCTCAATGTTGCCAAATGCCTCGAATAGCCTGCGCACGTCATCTTCTGACTGCTGCTTATTGAGCATGCCCACAAAGAGTTTTCTGTCTTCTGGAACAAAATAAAGAGATGCTTACCATATTTCAGGAGGGATGTGAAAGCCAAGATGGCTCAGTATCACATGAAAACAAATGGTGATTTCATTTAGCTGACATATTTCAGACGCTGCTAATCATTTCAGGTGGCTGGCTCAAAAAACCTTTATAACATCTGACTTTCAATGAGTACTTGAGAATAATTTGACAATTAAAAAAAAAAAAAAACAACAAAACAAAAACATACCCAAAAGGTTTGGTTATATACAAAATCTTTAACTGCTTCTAAAAATCTAGGCACCGAAGTCTTCCAAATCAGCTTTTTCTGATCAATTTTTGCAGTCAGCTTTCAGTAACTGAAATGACAACATTGTTCAGACTGCAATCCAAGAGGAATGTGGATAAAGATAGTACATACAAATAAAGTCCAAACAAAAAATCACATAAGTTAGTAGCCCTCGCAATACTAAATAAGTTGCAGGAAAAAAATGTTTAACGTAAGCTGTTTTAAATTAGGATATAATGGAAGCCACAGTCTGTAAAAGGATATTTGTCATTCATACCTACTCACAGACACATACCTACAAGTTTGGATGAGTTTTTTAATATACTTTTGAAGTTCATTTGAAATAAGCCTGAAGTTTTTGAAACATCTATTGTTTTTTTGAAACATAAAGTTAACTTATATGATTACTAATATCTGAGATAACTCAAGCAGATGGTATTTCATGTCAAAGCAGGACGTGATCTGCTAGTACATAATTGTATTTTGAATGAGAAAGGCTATTTATACTTGGACTTATACCAAGTATAGAGATCTTCAGTCCAGAATGAAACACCTTCAGAAATTGTTGGTGAAAACACACCAAACTAATGATTGCTGAGTTGGTAGAAACATCTCAGAGGGCACCGAGTGATGCCTCTAGATCAGGCTTACGTTCAGAGACTAGAAACATTACACCAAGAAGAAAAAAAAGAGAAATTTACATAGTTTACATTGTGTATGTAAACAGGCCATTTGCACATGATTCATAAACGTCTTATTTATCATTCATTAAACACTATGTAAATGTGTGAACCAAGAGTTTTTTTCAGAGCGGTTTACAGAGCAGATGTAACCAATTTGAATAAATATATGTAAATAAATAAATAAATAGTTTGATTTTTTTATTTATTTATTTTTAATGCACATGTTAACCTAAAGCTGAACAAAACATTGGTTTGCAACAACTCTTTTCTGGCTGACTAATTGGGCTATTTATGTCACCTTTGTTCACTGAGAAATCACTGGTGTAGACAATCTGTTCTGCTTCAACCAGTGTTTGATCAAAATTCCCCTCTCCAGTATGCACCTGTAAATTGGCAAATTACTTTATAGCCTTGGGTGAGGATAACTTTTCATGCAGTGGATATCGAGTGAGGATATTAGGAGCTTTCAATCCTTCAGTGGAGTTATCCACGTGAGCAAAAAGTGTACTGCCCACAGAAAACGAGGAGTTATGTTGCCTTCAGTTAGGCTGCTGAAATGGTAGGAAAAATAAGTTGAGGAGGGTACTCGTACATTTCTGATAGTGGAGAAAAAATGGGGATAGCCTTCCGAAAGTCATGTTAGAAGCAAGAAATATGCCTACTTTATGTTAGAATTGACTGAACAAAGGGACTTTTCGAAGTCTCAGCTGGCAACATAAAGTTCAGGCTTTAATGATGCACAAAGCCCTAACTAACACCATGTAGGTGTCCCCACCTCAAGAGAAGGTGCTTTGGACATCTGAAAGGTTTGTTTTCTTGATGGCCAAACTGACCTGCAAAAGAGACTCTCAGAGGCGACATATAAGCTTTAGAGAGGCAGCTACTGAAGTTGAGTGTGTGCTCTGTGGGGCATCTTTCAGTCTAGGGCTAGACAAAGCCTTGGAGAAAGAGTCCAGTCCAAACTCCAATGGTTGTCCAGATATTGGAGGAAAACCCGCCCAGCGAATGAGACCAGCTGTCCTGGAAGACGGGAGATATTTTAGGAAGGGGGCAGAGCAGTTGGAATGAACTGGGAACACCACCGGGAAAAGGCTTTGCCTAGAAAGTTTGTGTCTAGTAAGTACTTCCAGCACAGAAGCAGCATCTGTTATATTGTACTTTACACAGCTTCCTCTGTTTGAAATAAGCTGCATCAGCAAAAGCACTCCTATAGCTGTGTAACTGTATTTTCACCAGGCTTTTTGCTAATATAAATGTATCATTAAAAAAAAATCACATCTCTCCTCTGTCAGCAAAACTCTCTAGTGTGGACTGGCCTGAAACTGCCTTGTCTGGTTTAGTTTATGCAAAGCTAAAACCAGGTGTTTTAGGAACCACTTATTTTATTTTATTTTATTTTATTTTATTTTAGCCCCCTTTTCTGCATCTCTGCAGGGTACTAGAAGTGGTGATGCCCAGACCTGGCTGGCAGAAGATGTGGGGCTTTGGGGAGCTGCCCACAAGGTGGCCATCAGACCACCAGGAACAGGCTCTGCTAAAGGTGAGGACCACCTTCCCCAGGGGTTGCTGGTCCAGCCACTCCAGGGAAGGTGGCATGAAGGGGTCCCCCATGGCCAGCTAGGGCTCAGTGCTGCCTGGACATCACCTCCAGCCCCGCCTCCAAATCAGCACCCTGTATCCCTCCTGAAAAACTGTGTCTTGGATTGAGGGGAATCATTTGTCACATCTGCTGTCTCAGAAATCTACACAATCATACACTTGGCTGATAAAAAATGAGTCAGTTTAACAAGCTTTTTTCTCTGAGAGGCTCTTCTAACAAAGTGCTGCATTTACCTTTCACGTCCCAGCCCTGCCAGGGAGTTCAGCAGCATGTTTTAACAATGGCCCTCGCACATCTTGGGTGGGAAGAGAGAGGAAAGGGTCCAGCAGCTGCGACCATTCAGCACGTTCCAGGTCTTGGCTAATGAGTTTATCCTCTAATGGGCTTATATGAGCCTCTTAACACACTGAGTGTCCCCATACGCTGGTCTTCCAGGCTCCAAACAAAAAGCTGACATGCCATGCACAGGGGCAACTACTTCTGCTTTGTATATATGTCCGAACAAGGCCATAAGACTGCCAGAATAAAATGAAGAGGGGATGTGCTGGTGTCAGTGGGGTGTGTCTGAGCATGTGTGCACACCACAGGTGCTCCCCACCAGACTTTTCCAGTGTCCTCAAATGAGAATGGAGGACATTACCTTGCTGTACCATTGCTCAGGCCACTCTGCATCCTACAGAAACCAGAAGTTTAGGCTGCACACAAACCTGGAGCAGTCGTTAGATCAAGCTGTTCCTGAGCTCTGCCTGTCTGTAGGGTGTAGGGTCCATCCCTACCACTCATGGTCCACCCGTACTACCCCACTGAGTCCCATGCTTCCCCGTCTTTCAGCGAGACACTATCCCAAATCTATGTGTCTCGGGACCCACATCTGAATTTCAGAGCACTGTGCAGACTCAGTCCCCCGTGACCTCCATTGCCAAGCTTGATGCTATCATCCCCATTTCAGATTGTGGGACTGAGGGGTAAAAAACACTCAGCCCAAGCCCCATAAGACCTGGGCCCCAGGGCAAATTGAACACACAGTCAAGGAGAACAGAAATACCACTGTCGACGGGCAGAAGAGAAGGGCAAAAAAAGGCAGGGCATGAGCCCATGATTGGGGATGCCCCCAACATGAGCTGTGAGCATGACTGTGTGCTCCAACCTAAGCTGGCCCATGGCTACGGAAGAGGGAGTGGTACCTCACAGTACCATCCTGTCTTACACAACAGAGGGGGACAGCCATGAGGAGCAGCCTTTATCTCCTCCCTATGAGGGAAATCAAGACAGTGAGCTTACTTAGCATGTCTAAAGACAGGTGAGATGAAAACCTATTCTATGCAGCTTCCTCAAGGCCACACATGGCCATGCATCAAGTATTGATGCACATCTGAGCATCTCCCCTTTGCTTTTGCACGAAGGGCCTGTCCAAATTTCTGTCTATTACACACACCAAAGTGACAGTTTCAGTTTCTATCTCACGCCCAAATATTACATGTTAGTGAAGAAATCTCACTAGCCTCGCTATAGAGGCAGTCCTTAACAGCAGCAGTCTGAGCAGTGACACTGCCCTGCAGCGTGGGGACTGAATGTGGTGTCCATGTAAACCTCTTCTCCACACTTTTTTTTCCCCTCATCAGTGTTCACCTCATTGTCAGTCTTTCCCCACAACCTGAGTCCATCATGCCTGCTTGGCCCATGGAAATAACCATGGATGGCTATTTCTCTGTGCTGTGGTGCCCAGAAAAGCTGAGGAGGTTTCTGCTGATGCATCAAAGTCCTCACCATAAGTGACCTGGGGCACTCCCATAATATTGAAAATTAAATTCAAGCAAAGTCTACCCCATTTTGCCATCAACAAACAAGAGGAGCCAGCACTCCCTGCTCCTCCCTCCTCTCCCTCCCAGGTAGGGAGAGAAAGGCCACAGCAATGGCAAACCAGAGTCCCCAGAGATGTCCCCTTGGTGACATTTCCAGTAACCCCATGAAACCAAGCTCCCCTCTTCTTGGCCGCTCTACCAGCTGCAGAGGCTTGCGCCCGTCAGGAAAAGCTGGCTGCAAGGCACAGTGGTGAAGAAATGTAACTTGTCAGATAAATATACAGTGTCTATAAATCTCCCCATCTGTGTTTATTCAAAGCCTCAGCACCTTCCCGAGTGCAAATAGGGGTTAAATTATTCCCTGTTCTATTTGTATTTAAATGTTATGTTTCTATGATAAGCGTAAGGCAGAGGTGTCAGACTGGCCCGGGAGAAGGAGGCGGCACGCGTGAAAGGTGAAATAATAGAGCGTTGCAAACCAAGTGCTGAGAGGAGATGGGAAGGGGGGACACATGAAGGAGGGGAAGAAGGGGGAGGACGGGCACTAATTAAAGAGACAGAAGGGACAATGAGATGCAGGATGTTTGACCCTCTGTGGAGCAAGAGGACGAGAACAAGGATCACAGCAATTGTGGAGGGACTAGG